TTATTCTTCTGTTTATATGGCGGTTGGCAACCAACTATAAGGTGCATTACCGCCACCAACTGGACTGGAGTGAGGACTAGCGACAGGGAAGGTCTAAATCCTACCCATTATTCTCGCTTCTTTAAGGAAAAAAACAACAACATTACTCCTTAAATCTGATAAATATCCCTTTCCCTTCCATATTGCTGGCAGTGAAATAACGTGTTCCAGTGTCTCCATCTCCTCCTGACAGTGATTACACTTCCCAGTCAGATGTTTTCCTACCAATTTGAATATACTGTTGAGCCTTGTGTGTCCCAGTCTTATCCTTGTGATTACACTTTCCACCCTTCTCTCTCGATCTGAGGACCTCCCTGCCCCCACCTTTTCCTGGATCTTATACAGGTGTCTTCCCTTTCCCCTCCCAATTCCACAACTCTTGCCATTTGTTTTTGACCACTGTTCTCATAAACCCCTTGGCTTCTGTATTACTGATTGACAATTCCATTTCAACACTAGGATGTTTGAGCGCCTGCTTGGCAAGAACATCAACCTCCACAAATTCTTATTTACAATGACGGCCTACACCGGCCAAACCCGGACGACGCTGGGCCAATTGTGCGCCGCCCTATGGGATTCCCAATCACGGCCGGATTGTGATACAGCCTGGAATCGAACCAGGGTCTGTAGTGACGCCTCTAGCACTGAGATGCAGTGCCTTAGACCACTGCGCCTCTCGTGACACAAGTTAATTTAAACTCATTAGTGCTGTGGAGGAGGACCACGGACAGTTACCATCCACGCAGCCATAGCAAAGAAAACAAGAGCGCAGGCCTGCACGGCCTCCGCCATTTCAGCACCACAAGCTGGCTGGACGAGCATTAGACCTTATGCAGTGTGTTAATTTATTACAGAAAGTATCATCATGGCTTACCTTGAAATTATTTATTCCTCGTTTTCCAAGCAGCAAAATCTGCAACTATGTCCTTGAAATCAAGTGCCTTGAGTACATCATTCTCAAGAACCATAAGAGTCAAATGGTTCAGTCTTTCCTGTCCCATTGTTGATCTCAGTCTGTTTTTGACAAGCGCCAGCTTTGAAAAGAACCACTCCCCTGATGAATTGGTAACAGGTAAAGTCAAGAATATTCACAAGGCAATGTCAACATTGGAAAACACTGCTTGTAGCAGTGGCATCATCATCATCACTACCGTTTCCCTCGGCCACAGTGGCACTGGTGCTCTTGCTGCCGACCACATCATCATCTAGGGACAGTCATAGCAACATTGATTAGCTAATCATAAGCTTAGTGTGATGCATGATGGAATCTGACTGACTTGTTAGCAAGCAAGCCAATACATTTTACTACATATCCCTAACATCCAGATAGCTAAATGATTGAACTAATGGGATCGTCATCATCATGCTAAGTATTGAGCTGGTGGTAGCTAGCTAGAGGGAACTCAGTTAGGGCCTGCCTGCCTACCTGATGCTGCTGGTGTTGCTGTTGGAGGCATGGTCGGACCGTTTCCCTCGGTGTCGCCAGTGGCCTTTGTGTTGCGCAGAAAAATAACCAGTCACTTTGGGTATTTTCAATTTATGTTCTTGCTCCTGCTATTTTATTTATTTTTAATCTGGGCCCAACTCAGGCCACTGTGACTTTTTCCCACCATTTTCAGTACAGAAGATAGCCCTATTTGGTAAAAGATCAAGTCCATATTATGGCAAGAACATCTCAAATAATCAAAGAGAAACGACAGTCCATCATTACTTTAAGACATGAAGGTCAGTCAATACGGAAAAGTTCAAGAACTTTGTGTGCAGTCGCAAACACCATCAAGTGCTATGATAAAGCTGGCTCTCATGAGGACCGCCACAGGAATGGAAGACCCAGAGTTACCTCTGCTGCAGAGGATAAGTTCATTAGTTACCAGCCTCAGAAATTGCAGCCCAAATAAACAGACACATCTCAACATCCACGTGTATTTCCCAACGTAAAGCATGGAGGAGGAGGTGTTATGGTGTGGGTGTGCTTTGCTGGTGACACTGTCAGTGATTTATTTAGAATTCAAGGCACACTTAACCAGCATGGCTACCACAGCATTCTGCAGCGATACGCCATCCCATCTGGTTTGGGCTTAGTGGGACTATCATTTGTTTTTCAACAGGACAATGACCCAACACACCTCCAGGCTGTGTAAGGGATATTTTAGCAAGAAGGAGAGTGATGGAGTGCTGCATCAGATGACCTGGCCTCCAAAATCCCCCGACCTCAACCAAATTGAGATGGTTTGGTATGAGTCGGACCGCAGAGTGAAGGAAAAGCAGCCAACAAGTGCTCAGCATATGTGGGAACTCCTTCAAGACTGTTGGAAAAGCATTCCAGGTGAAGCTGGTTGAGAGAATGCCAAGAGTGTGCAAAGCTGTCATCAAGGCAAAGGGTGACTATTTGAAGAATCTCAAATATTACATATATTTTGATTTGTTGAACACTTTTTTGGTTACTACATGATTCCATATGTGTTATTTCATAGTTTTGATGTCTTCACTATTATTCTACAGTGTAGAAAACAGTAAAAATAAAGAAAAACCCTTGAATGAGTAGGTGTTCTAAAACGTTTGACTGGTACTGTATATATATTTATCAGTTACCTAATCAAGGCATGACCCCCCAGTAATCACGTGGGCCCCCTAGTTTCCCACGTGGGCCCCCTACCTCCTCCCCCCATTTGATGATTAGCAGAGTGGCAGAAGGCAGCATCAGGCTGTCTACTCTCATTGAGAGCGGGTTCCTGAGTCATCCTGTGGTTGGCGGTTGCAGTAAAAAAAATAAAAAACTGAAAGAGATATTCTGCACGTTTTCAAGTTAAAAGTCTCCATTACTCAGTTCAGTTTACTTCACATTTAGTTAGCTAATTTAATGGATTTGTTTGCCAGCGCAAGTCTAGATAGCACTAGCTGTATTATGCCTACAACAGTGAAGTTTCAGTCTGCTAGGTGTATCTCTACACCATGGGCATATCTCTGGGTGACGTGGACATCCCCATGCATGTACCTTATCAAAATATGACTCTGTACCGGTACCCCCTGTATATAGCCTCACTACTGTTATTTTACTGCTGCTCTTTAATTATTATTATTATTTTTATTTATTTTTACTTAACACTTATTTTTCTTTAAACTGCATTGTTGGTTAAGGGCTTGTAAGTAAGCATTTCACTGTAAGGTAAATATACTTGTTGTATTCGGCGCATGTGACAAATACAATTTGATTTGATTTAATTCAATATTGCACTCTCTCATTCTCTGGGCTCTGTCTGCAATCATAACCAGTAGTATCTACCAGGAATAATGAAACACAGAATATTAATAGATGTTTGGTGAATCTATGAATTATGCATGACCACTGGAGTCTTTGCCACTCCCAAAAAATTTTTATTGAATATTTTGATATTTATATCACTCAAAATCTTGCGAAAGCATATTCTGTAGGAGGGGTTAATATGAATGTAAAATAATTTGACATCATTTATATGAATCGGGTCATGAACATATGGACTTTGAAATGAACAAGGGAGAGGTTAAACGTAGGCTAAGTCTGGCATAAGCTTATTCCCACACTTTACAATAACTCTGTTGCAGTGGTCTTAGGTAGTCTCCATTTAGGCTATTCCCTCCATTGTGACACTGCTGCCCAGTTGAAGAGCTTGTGATCTCCATGCAGCACCACAGCACCATGCGCCTTCGAAAAAAAAAAGGCCTATCCCCCCAAAAAATTGGCCTTCAACTTGTAGGCAATGCAATTTAGGAATTTAGACTATCATTTTGGGTACTGGTGTCTTGCGGAATAATTTTAGAACTCTATTTGTTGTTGTTTTTATAACTGTTTTTATTATAGGGGCTCCTCTTAAAAAGAGACCCTAGCTCACAGGCCTCTAAATATAGCCTCTAAATAAATGTTTAACAAAATAGTTAAGAAACACATGAAGTGGCTGATAGGGGAAACAGATCTGACAATAAGAATAGGCTATAGATAGTCTTGACCATTTGGGAACCCTTGGCTATTTCGCTCAGGACAGGTTATAGCCAAGACTTAATCAATATTTTGTTTTGTCTCATTTATTGATATGGATATAGCCTCTGTGTGATTGGATTGTGCAACGCAAACGGCTATAACAAGCCTACATACAGAGTGGAATTCACTAATACAACAGTCAAAATGCCTAATATAAGGCATACAATCCGTACTCCCAAATAGTGGAAAAAGTGTCATTAGGTTACATGATCACCACAATAGCCCCACGTGCTGGCTCCATAGTTCAGTCCTCAAAGCCTCAACGCCCAATCCAGCTATAGCCTTTAACATATTCTTACCAGTGGCCGTCAGTGCCGTTTAATATCTGGTGTGTGTGTGACTTCAACTCCAAAGACAACATTAATTTACCACATTATTTATAGGCTAATCCCCCTGCATTTAAGTGGTAGCTTCCACTTGAGCAACATACTAGAAATCACCCCGTTTTCCCAGCCACACCAATATTTGAGCTTTCATTTTGAAACGAATAAATGTACATTTGAAACATTTGAAAAACGATATAAAAATCTCAATTTTACATTGAAGAAAAATCTGAAATTGACAAATGTATTACATTTAAACGAGTGGATCAGACAATTGAGAACTGAAGAAATTAAAACTAATTTTATATTATTCAATTTGAAGAAGTGTTTTAGATTATTAGACTGATAATCGTTACATGGACCGTGAAATGATTTGCATCAAAAATAGTTGTAGTTTTTATCCCGCATCAGATGGAGACGCCCGATATGTAAATACATCTGGGCGGAGATACGCAGGCGCGATTCCTTTCAAAATCACTACGACGACGTTTTTGAATCGCCATTTTAGAAAAGAAGAAGAGCGGTTCGGAACAAAAGCAGTTAGCGACATTCTTCAACGTTTCATTACATTTACTCGACGTTATATTACGTTTATTTTTATCCAGTGATCCTACAACGCAGAAATGTCTCGGGACAGATTTAACATTAACGTTAGAGGAAATAACCGTGGAGCTGGATTTCAACGCCGTGGAGCTGGGCCTGGTGGTCCGATGCGAGGTGGAATGGGAAACCTGAATAATTTCAGACAAAACCAACACCCCTTTCAAAGAGGGCCTCATCCCGGTAACTTTGGAAAACCACCCAACCAGATACGTCAGATAACTCCTCAGAAGCCACTGCCACCTACTATTTCCCAGCCAGGCGCTCAACCGATTCGGCCACCACCTACACCTGGCCCTGCGCTAACCATGAAGGGCCCGGTACAGCAGGCCGCGGCTCCGGCGCCCGTATCAACACCTCCGGTGGCCGCAGCAGCACCTCCAGTGACCGCAGCAGCATCTCCGGCAACCGCAGCAGCACCTCCAGCGGCGGCAGTTACTGCTCCGGCGGCTCAACCAAAAATGCAGTCCCCACCTCCGAAGCCTGTTCCTCCGAAACCCGCACTCTCATCTCCCCCACCAAACCAAATGAAGAAACCAGCACTCTCATCTCCCCCACCAAACCAAATGAATAGGAACCAGCAAAGACCAGGACCCGGCAACGCCAATGGAAATGGGCATAAATCTGCACCCGCTAACAAAAAACCTGAACCTCAAACTCAGAATACTTCAATGGAGGCGGAGGAAGCCCAGCACCCCAAGGTTAGTGACTAACGACGTCGACGCGTTACCCAGTCACGCTAACTAACATTCCGTAATTAGCATGTTAACTAGCTACTTAGCTAGAATAAACTGTCTCTTTAATTTACGTCAGATATGCAACTGTGTTATGTGAAATAAGTGGGCCCATTGAGCTACACGTAACACGTTGCGGAGTTAGCCCCCTAACGTTAGCTAATTCAGCTAGGTGGCTACATGGGAGATACGTCGGCCATTTTGTGTGAGAGTCTAGCGACGACAGTGTATATTTTTTTAAACCACGGGTACATTTCGACAATGTTACTGAAAGCTGATTGCTAGATATGCATCCACACGACGCCGTTACAAGCGCATGGAAGAAAGTCACTGAGAAGACGTAAACTAAAAACTGTTTTTTTCCCTCAACTGTACGGGGGGGGGGGTAAATCGGTTGAGTAACATGCAACCGGTTGAAACACATACCGTAGGTAGCTAGTAGGACTCACTGTGGATCCTTTCTTTGTCCCCATGATAATTTCATACAAACCAAATAGCTAATCTTATCCCAACTACTTTTACATTTTGGTTATGCTTACTGTATTTGTAATTAACGTTAATCGTAGTCATGTTCTATGAACACAATATCATGGACATTTTAGTATTGGAATTTGAACTGAACGTTGTCTCGGTCTGTAGGAGTTGAGAGCGACATTGTCATCGCTGCGCAGACCTGGCGAGAAGACATACACTCAACGATGCCGCCTTTTCATTGGAAACCTTCCAAATGATATCTCAGATGACACATTCAAGAAGCTGTTTGCGAAGTATGGCGAGCCCAGTGAGATTTTCATCAACAAAAACAAAGGCTTTGGCTTCATACGCCTGGTAAGTGCACCACACTGTAGTTACCATAAACATTGTCCTTTTGGTAATTGGCTCTACCATAAACATTGTAATTTTTGTGTTTAGTGCCCTGTCTAGTTAAAATGTAAAAGCCTAATTTCTACCATTCCAGGAATCCCGTGCATTGGCTGAGATAGCTAAAGCTGAACTGGATGATGTGCCCATGAAAGGCAGACCGCTTCGGGTGCGCTTCGCAACTCACTCTGCTGCACTGTCTGTGAAGAACTTGTCACCTTTTGTTTCCAATGAGCTACTGGAGGAGGCCTTCTCCCAGTTTGGAGTGGTAGAAAGGGCTGTGGTAATTGTAGATGATCGTGGGCGCTCCACTGGCAAGGGCATTGTTGAATTTGCCTCTAAGCCTGCTGCACGAAAGGCCCTGGATCGTTGCAACGATGGAGTCTTCTTGCTCACCACGTAAGTTATATACATTTATTTGGCAACATTCAGTAGAACATGAAATGCACATGAAGGTTTCTCCAAATGGCTCATGCTGTTACGCTGTAATTAATTGATACTCTTAATGTCTTAGGTCACCTCGTCCAATCGTCGTTGAGCCCCTTGAACAATATGATGATGAGGATGGTCTACCAGAGAAACTGGCACAGAAGAACCACAACTATCATAAGTAACCCTCACTTCATATAACTAAATAGCTTTAATTCAATAGCGTATGGCTTTTTGGGCTTGATTGGTGTGCATATTTTGTTTTCTTATTACCACACCCACAGCACTCCTTTGTGATGTTATGCTCATTTTGAATTGAGATGGGAAGTGCAAATATAGCTATTGTAGCCAGGTGCCACCCAGTGTGCCATGCAAATTGAACTGCTAACCCTATCATTCCCGAGATCCCAGCAATCTGCTTTTCATTTATGTCCAGCTTTTATATTTAGCCTCACAATTAAGTGTTTTACCATTTTCTTTTCAGGACCACCAGGGCTACAAGTAGAAAACAACAAAACATTAAACAGTTGCATTCATGAGTTTTATTGACATAATAAATTGGCGCCTCCAAAGCAAAAACCAGATGCACGTGAATTTATACATCGACTGTGAGCTTATTACAGTATTATAGACACCATGTCCTTGGATTTCCAATGATCTATGTGGAAGAACCCCTTACCTTCTAACAACTCTTGTGTAGCTTGTGAGTGTCAGAGAGCAAAACATGTTACGTGTTCTTGAGTCTCAGCTTTTAAAAGTTTGTATTAAAGACCCGGGGCCCTTCGGGATCTGTCCGTGTCTCACCAACACCACTCTAGCTCAGCCCCCGTTAATCACACATACGAATGGTTGGTATCTACGGATGCAGAATAAATAGTTGAATCTAATGCCACAACCCAGAAGTCTAGCTCAAACAGTGTTTGAAAAGGGTTAAAGTCCAAAATGGGGGTGTGTTACGGTGGGCCTCATTGGGCAAAAGTTTTTACCAGGGGTTGGGTTAGCAGATGCCACAGCTGTTAAAAACCCATTCCAGTTGATTTTCCAATAAAAGGATTACCCATCTTGAGTACCCCTCTTTGTTGTATGTCTTGGTTACAACTTTCTATTTTAACCAAACTTATGTTGCTGCAGGGAGCGGGAGGAGCCACCCAGGTTTGCCCGTCCTGGCACGTTTGAGTTTGAATACTCTAAGCGCTGGAAGTCCCTGGACGACATGGAGAAGCAGCAGCGCCAGCAGGTGGAGAAGAACATCCGCGAAGCCCGTGAGAAACTGGAGGGAGAGATGGACGACGCGTTCCATGTGCACCAGGCCAACATGATCCGCCAAGGCAAGTTTAGCTGGAAAGAGGCGACCACTTTTCAAAAAAGAAAAGTAGTTAGATGTAGCAGTGTCTTACATGTATGTTCTTGCACTCTGTTTAGATCTGCTGAGGCGGGAGGAGGAACTACGACGCATGGAAGAGATGCACAGTGCAGAGATGCAGAAGAGGAAAGAGATGCAGCTCAGGTATTAAAACTTGTTTGAGTAACTGTTTGTTCCACACACTTCATTTATTCATTGGAATGTTACTGAAACGTGACAGTGTGCATAACAGGCAGGAGGAGGAGCGTCGCATACGCGAGGAGGAGATGCTCCGCCAGAGGGAGATTGAGGAGCAAATGCGCCGCAAGCGTGAGGAGGCCTACAGAAGTGGCAACTTCATGGACAATGTAAGTTGAGCAGAGTACCATACAACCATTCAGACCTTGACATTTGCGTTTGAGATACGAGTCTTACTATTTTGATTTCAGAGGGATATGAGAATGACTCAGGGTGGCGCCATGGGCATGGCTGGTGAGTAGTATATCTTATAACAATTTGTTTTCATGAATTGTAATTTTTTGTGTGCTGTGTTCTTGCTACCCATATCTTAATTTTCAGCTGGACCCAGAAATGTGTTTTGAAACAACAATATGAAGTTTGAGACTGCACTTTATGAAAGCATATGACAACATTGCCCCCTAGGGCTGCCCTGACTCTCATTTTAATGTATGACGTGTAGTCCTGTTGTCCCTACTAGACAATCAATTTGGCTCACCCAACCAGAAGTTCCCCATGGGTCACCAAGGCATGGGGGGACCCAACGCTGGGGGAGCCATGATGCCCAACGAAATGGTAATGTATTCCAAATGGATTCCAACACTAATAGGGCCCATTTGGGTGTGGGTTTCTCAACTGGTTGCTGTAGTTGTCATCGGGGAGAGAAGTGGATGGTTTTGCTCCGGTCGGCCCAGTTTGGAAGCGTATGGCAGAAAAATGAAAGCTTGTGTGATTCTTCTGAGGCGTCTGTGCCATGTCGAGATTGAGACAGTTTTCTGCAACAGCATGTCCCCTCAGTTCCTCTACTATTACAGCCTGTATTTCAGCTGAAAATAATCAGCCTGTACTAAACCCGGTGACTTGCTTTCCAGTGCTTTTTCAAAGCTCCTACTTTGTGTAATGGACCTATTGCAAGCCCTGTCTTGTGTGAGCCAGACAGGCACATTTTCTTGGCAAGTGGAAAGATGTCACCCGGCAGCATTTTTTTGTGGCTATTTGTAGAAAACATTTTTAGTTGAAGTACTTTCCCATACTGTCATTGAACTTCATGCAATCACATGAAATGGTACAGATGGTGTCTCGGTGTAACCTGGAAATATTTTTAGGGGCCTCATTTGTGAAAAGTGAATTTCCTGCAACGTTCTCTTGTGTCATGGATTGACTCCCTAGTTGTTGTAACATTTCCCCAGCCACCACCTTGTCCAAGCAATTAAAATTAGGGGTTTTAGTACAGGTTGCTTTATGAAGCAAATGTGTCTCTTGACATACCATTAAGCTAATGAGTAAGCTCCTAAGTGCAACTTGCATAACACAATATGAAGAACTGAGGGTGACAGGCATTGCGTTGACTGCTTGGATACCTGTGCTATTTGTACCCTGTGGGTGAAATCCTCTAATTTCATTAAGGCCCAGAATGTGATGAAGGCCTCCGCATTAGGCCTATGGCAAGCAGGTGTGTTAATGCCCTTTTGTATTATAGGCTAAATGCAATTAATAAGTTCACCAGTTAGATATCTGGTAACTTCCTTATAAATGGTCTGACGCAAAGCTGTTTTAAGTCCATTTAAAAATAGATACAACTTGTGATTTGTATGAGTTGTTTTTATACTGTCAAGGATCTATCAATTCATGTAATGGAACACAGCCGCTTTGACGTAAGGGTGGCAAACAATCTGACAGGAAAAACAGCACAACAGGTCGGCTGCTTTTGCAATGGTGAGCAGTTGTTGCTTTTCGATACTGGATTGTGCAGTCCGACAACGTATCTGTCGTGTGTCTTGCTGATAGCTCCACATGTCAGTTTTTCTGTTCTTCAGTGCAAGCAATGCAAATGAACCAACATTTTAGTGCAGTGATTGCAGAGATTCTCTCTTACTCTGAAGGGAAGATGGCTAGTAGATATGTTACTGGCTAGATTGTCTGGTCTTGCCGCTACACACATGGAAGCAATGACAAATCAGGATGCCATTTAGTCAAGTTGACAGAACTACCATTAATTGGCCAAGCATTTATTAGTTCGCACAAAATGGCTGATATGGCTAAGGCTACCTTACCCAAGCCTGCAACTTTTAGGAAAATTGTGTCCAAATAGAATCAACAATTAATACATACATTTTTTTTTTACACCATGGGTCTAGATCAACACACTTGTAGGTGATCATTCATTTTTAGAGTTTATGCATTTTAGTGTAAAACATGGCTTAAATCAAACAGAAGTGTTCTGAATACGACTGGGGAAAACGGTCTACAAATTTGTAGAACACCTTAAAGGACATTATTCCTATATCTGAAGTAAATCTCTATTTTTGATGTAAAACTGAAATGTTCTAGAAGGGTCCATACACTTTGTGATTTGGCTTGTTTTTGAGAAACTTAGCCCAGCTGCGATACACTTCCTCATTGCTCCTTGTGCAGGATCAGGGCACGCAAACGACATGAACAAAAGCACCCAAATACATCCATTTAGTATAGTAATGTATGTCTTTAGATGTTGTACACATGAAATTGTCATTTCAAACTTTTTTCGCAACGTTGTAATCCATTTTGGTCAAGTTGCGCTGTTTACCCCACGCAGCTTTGCAGGCCGAGCGTGTCCCTATAGTACATGGACATCGACTGCGCAAAACAGCTGCTAGAAGAAACTGTTTGAGTCGAAGTAAATGGAACATAACGTTGTGGATAAAGTTCGGAATGACACAATGTAATGTGTACAACATCACTATACTGACAGCGTGTCTAAAAGGACGTGTTTTTTTTGTTACGTTTTGTTCGTGTCTTTTGCGTGCTCTGATACTGCGCAATGAGGAAGTGAATTGCACCTGGGGTAAGTTTCTCAATCAAGCCAAGACACCAAAAAAAGTGTAAGGACCCTTCTATAACATTCCATTTGCATAAAGAAATTGAGATTTACTTCAGAAAAATAAATTTGCCTTCTAAAAACATATTGTATTTTGCCACAAGAAGTGAACAGGAGCAGGGTGGCAATTTGTGTGTATGCAAAATGAAACATGGTATTTTTCGTCCAGGAACACCCGCTGTGAAACTTCAGTTTTGAGTCTTTTAACCAGTATGGACCACCTCTTTCGCCCAACTACTGGCATATTTCCAAATATGTGATGCGTAGTAAATTGTAGAAGGTTTGGTTGGTGAAATAAAGTCTAGACCCTGCAAATGACATGGCAGGATTAGGCCAATTAACATCTACTTGAATTAGGCCTAGCCTATTGGCGAGCCTGTAGACCTTGTAGTTTGTAATGTGAAATTCACCCCCCGTCCAGCGTATTACTAAGGTCATGAAAGCTTCAAGTGTAACAACTGGGCAAGACTTCATGTAGGCTCATTGATTTAAAATCATATTTTTCCCTTTTTTTTTTACTGCCATTTGAAAGGTCAGCAATACTGTAGTTGTGCAGTGATATCCTACTTGTGTGTTTAAGCAATAAAGGCAACGCAAGCAACACAGATTTACAGCTATATTGAAAAGTATGCCTGATAGTTCTACACAAAGCATAACAAAAAAAAAAGTGGAATTGTAGCGCTGAAGTGCATTTATCAATTGGCCAGTCTGGCCTACCTATAGGTTTTGGCATTAAACGTTAACATTTGGCCATAGCAAACCGGCAGTCTTCCCCAAAATTCTCCACATGATGCCAGTAGTGAGTGATGTAGCCCAGCCTTTGGCATGCACAGCAGACTATGGTAGGACCTAACTAACGAAAACATTACCCTTTCTTCCTTCTCCGTATGTTACCTGTGGCACCTGTGGATCTGCGTATTGGAACTATTTCAACGAACGTTTCCCTTGGACGTGTCTCCTGCTGTTTATTTTGTCAAATGGCTCTCAAACAAAACCAATTCTCTCTACCCCCTCCCCTGAATATGGACTTGAACTGTGTGCCATCGCACTGCCCTCCCCTCACCCCCTACAATCCTTGGTATGGTCGTTAATCCCAATAGCGAAATGAGCGAAACTTCCCTCAGGGAGGCCGGGGGGGAATGGGTCCCAACAACCCAGGGTTTGGCAGGGTCCGTGAGGAGTTTGATGGGCCTGCCAAGAAGCCCCGCTTTTAAATCTGTTCAGTGTCATTCATAGCAGCGTTTTTGTGTAGATTCTCTGAACATCTTCACATTATTGAGTCAATTGTTGTATTTAAGTTGAAAGTGTTCTTGCATTTTAGCCTGAAGACTCATTCATTTTTATGGCAAGTTAGGTTTTTTCTTTTTTTGATTTTGTATTTGGAGTAGTGTGAAATTTAATAAATTGGTCACCCTCAGTGATCACATAGTGCTATCCCACCTATGTATAACTTTCTTTCCAGTTGTATCATGCTCTGTGACTCGTGTCGTAAATGGTGATAAATGTCAAATTTTCTCACCTTTCAATGGCTGTGTTTTTTGCCATTTAAGATTTGAAGTAAAAACATGTAACTTTACAATAAAGACTTCAATTGGTTCTCTCCAAACCCTCTTAAAGTTTATTTTAGCCCAATTTCAAGTTATCCTAAATAAGCCCAGCAAGGGTTTACAAGACTTTTGCTCTAGCAGCCATCTATTAAGTGGATCAATTACTGACATATATATTGTCTAGTATAACCTGGATTTATTATGTTGGATGCCGGGGTTGACTTTGTTAACTAACACAATGTTCCCATGTGAACGAAATAGAAGAAATGTGTATACTGAGACAGTATTGATAAAGCAGAGAAAGCACATTTAGTCCTAGTAGAAATTGTCTTTATGGAGCCCAATTTTGACAACGGAAATAAGCAGTCCTGGTGTCAAACGTGACTAATGCTTCTAGTAGTGTTTTGTTTATAAAAAATAAACAAAATCTGGATTTTGTAATGTCCTTGGAAAGTCGCAGTTAAAATGACAGTTTTGGTGCAGTTTTGCAACTTTCATTAACAAAGGTATGACTTTGTGTAGCCCTAATTGAAGTGATATGGTCTTTGACAACTGCTGTTTTTTTTGCGTTGACAAAAAAGGAGTATGTTGGACTCGTCTATTGTTCCCAAGCCGGCTACGTATTGAACAGAGGTCAATGGTCCACCTTGACCACAGTTAACGTTTCAAAGCAGCACTTCATCAGTGTCTCTTGACATTGCATTATGTCATCTGTTTAATTGGAATGTATGTATCATACAAGCGAATGTATGAAAAGGATCTACGAATGTTACCCTAAATAATACCTGTCCCAGCCACTGTCTGACAGATGTGTGTAGGTCATAATTCAAATGGCATGTTATTACGAGAAACTGAGGGGAAACGGTAGCGTGTGCTTTTACCCTTCATGCTACCATAACTTTTCAGCCTCCCTTTTCCACTTTTATGGATCCTTCCATGAATTCCTTTAGTAGCTTTCCTAGCCTAAGCGCTGATGATAAACCAAGTGTGATGTGAACTGATTAATTCCAGCGAGTACCACTGTCACTTAGAATTTTCACATGTGCAGATTAGACAACTAAGTCTGAAACCATCATTGAAATTAACTTTTGTGGCTACCATTTTATGCCTCTGCATCCACTATGATGAAGGAGAGTTTTGCGAGCCAATGCTAGCGTTAGTGCTAGCTTAGCGCAAAGACGAAGTCTTGAGGATGTTAGCTCTACCTGAACGTCCAGTCTGCGTTAAGCTAGTTAGTATTGGCTTGCTAAACTACCTCTTTCTTCATACTGGATGCAGAGACAAATGGTAGCCACAAGTTCATTTGACTCCGGGGAATTAAATAATGGCCTCAAACTTTCCCTTTTTAGGATTAGGGCAGATTGACAGTATTGAACCAATGTTGGCATTAAACAAAATTACAACAAATTGGTTATAACGTGCTGGCACGTTCATACCTCGAACATCTTCATAGTACGTTTGATTAGACCTCTAAATCTATTTTCCAAGTGAGACTTAAGGCGACGCACACCAAAGGCTAGATATGTCAGCAATTAAAACAATCGGGGTTTTTTAACCAAAAAGGCTACAGAGAAGTGAATGTTTCCTGTGTAGGCATTTTATTTATTTATTAAAGGTAACTTGCTCCTACTAGTTTGAATTGTTTTGTACTGTTTTTTATAGTTATGGAAATAGCACCAGTTACTATGTAATTGAACTCAATAGGCTCTTAAAATTTCGTCTAAATTTCGAACTCAACAATTACAGCAAAAAGATTGATCATGGTTGTGCAGCATGTTACTCAAATGACTACAAACATTCAGTTTATCTAACCCGTTGTCGTCTAAACAAATATCTGATTGGATACCTTGACAAAAGTAATGTAAACCATTCAATGTTGTTCCTGTATGTTTGTTTTCTGTATATTTCTTCTTTGACAGGTTTGGCCACCTTAAAGGTTGCAGTGTGTAAAGGAGACATTTCTAAACCAAGAAATCATAGGCCTAACTGAGTAGCACTTAATACAGTTTACTCCTGTGACTTGTCTTAAACAGACCAACCTGATAAAGACCGTCTTGCCTTAGTGAAGAGTTGGCAGTTAAGGTTCAAGTCACTGTTCAGTAATGTAACAGGGTACCAGTTGGTGAAATGGTTTTGATTAACAAGAAATTGGAACGGACACCCCATCTAATATTCTAACTGGGTGTTATTCCCAATGTATCTAGGTGATTTGGAAGACGATTGAATTAAGTTTGCCAGAATGGCTGAGTAACAAGAAGACCAATGATTGGATCTGGCAATGTTTCTTAGGGTGTATGTTTCTAGGTGAACTCTTTGTCAGCTCTTGCTGGACTACTCACAAAGTTGGTCAACTTGCCATACTAATTAATGTAGGCCTACAGGAAACTCAGTGGGATATAGGCCTCGTAGTAGCAATATACTGAGAAAGAAAGATCAGACATCTTTAAATGGAATTTCAACTTAATCTGTGGAGATCTTATGTTAACAAAGAAAATGACATGGGGATGCTTTATTTGAGCTTCTTGGGCTGACCAATCAGCCCAATTCTGATATTTTTCCCACAAATTGGTCTTTTGACATCACATCAGATCTTTTCAGAGCTGGTCTGATTGGTCAAAAGACCAATTAGTGAGATAAAATAATCAGAATTGGGCTGCCTGTCTAAACGCAGCACTAGTATCATACTCTTATCTGTTTGCAGATGGAATCACAGATCAGGGGACAAACTAATGGTTAAGATAAATGTAGCTAGCTTTGTTTATATGCACCTGTAGTGGGGATGTAGGCCACCCCTTAGTTTTTATATATAGTACCAGTCAAAAGTTTGGACACCTACTCATTCAAGGGTTTTCCTTACTTTTACTATTTTCTACATTGTAGAATAATAGTGAAGACATCAAAACTATGAAATAACACATGGAATCATTAGGGCAAAAAAAGTGTTAAACAATTTTATATTTGAGATTCAAATGGCCACCCTTTGCCTTGATGACAGCTTTGCACACTCTTGGCATTCTCTCAACCAGGTTCACCTGGAATGCTTTTCCAACTGTCTTGAAGGAGTTCCCACATATGCTTAGCACTTGTTGGCTGTTTTTCCTTCACTCTGCCGTCTAACTCATCCCAAACCATCTCAATTGGGTTGAGGTCGGGGCATTGTGGAAGCCAGATCATCTGATGCAGCACTCCCATCACTCTCCTTCTTGGTCAAATAGCCCTTACACAGCCTGGAGGTGTGTTGGGTCATTGTCCTATTGAAAAACAAATGATAGTCCCACTAAGCCCAAACCAGATGGGATGGCGTATCGCTGCAGAATGCTGTGGTAGCAATGCTGCTTAAGTGTGCCTTGAATTCTAAAAAAATCATTGTCACCAGCAAAGCACCCCCACATGCGGAGATCATCCGTTCACCCACACCGCGTCTCACAAAGACACGGCGGTTGGAACCAAAAATCTCCAATTTGGACTCCAGACCAAAGGACAAATTTCACCGGTCTAATGTCCATTGCTCGTGTTTCTTGGCCCAAGCAGGTCTCTTCTTATTGGTGTCCTTTTAGTATTGGTTTCTTTGCAGGGGTTTCTTTCCCCTCTGAACAGTTGATGTTGAGATGTCTGTGACTTGAGCTCTGTGAAGCATTTATTTGGGCTGCAATTTCTGAGGGTAGTAACACTAATGAATGTATCTTCTGCAGCAGAGGTAACTCTGGGTCTTCCATTCATGTGGTGGTCCACATGAAAGCCAGTTTCATCATAGCGCTTGATGTTTTTTGCGACTGCACTTGAAGAAACTTTCAAAGTTCTTGACATTTTCCGTATTGACTGACCATGTCTTAAAGTAATGATGGACTGTCGTTTCTCTTTGCTTATTTGAGCTGTTCTTGCCATAATATGGACTTGGTCTTTTACCGAATAGCAAATAGGGCTATCTTCTGTATAACCCCCCCCCCCCCCCACCTTGTCACAACACAACTGATTGGCTGAAACGCATTAAGAAGGAAATAAATTCCACAAATGAACTTTTAAGAAGGCACACCTGTTAATTTAAATGCATTCCAGGTGACTACCTCATGAAGCTGGTTGAGAGAATGCCAAGCCTGTGCAAAGCTGTCATCAAGGCAGAGGGTGGCTATTTGAAGAATCTCAAATATAAAATATATGATTTAATTTAACACTTGTTTTGGTTACTTCATGATTCCATGTGTTATTTCATAGTTTTGATATCTTCACTATTATTCTACAATGTAAAAATAAAGAAAAAACCTTGAATGAGAAGGTGCGTAAACTTGACTAGTAGTGTGTATATATACTGAACAAAAAATATAAACGCAACATGCAACAATTTCAAAGATTACAGTTCACATAAGGAAATCAGACAATTGAAATAAATTCATTAGGCCCTAATCTATGGATTTCACATGACTGGGAAGGAGCGCAGCCATGGTTGGGAATAGGCCCACCCACTTGGAAGTCAGTCCCAGCCAAGCCTAATTTGTTTTTCCCCACGAAAGGTCTTTATTACAGCTGTCCGAGTGGCTGGTCTCCGATCCCGCAGGTGAAGACGCCGAATGTGGTCCTGAGCTGGCGTGGTTACACGTGGTCTGCGGTTGTGAGGCCGGTGTGACAACTGCGCATTTTAGTGGCCTTTTGTCCCCAGTACAAGGTGCACCTGTGTAACGATCATGCTGTTTAATCAGCTACTTGATATGCCACACCTGTCAGGTGGATGGATTATCTTGGCAAAGAAGAAATGCTCACTAACAGGGATGTAAATAAATTTGTGGTGAAAATCTGAGAGAAAATAGCTTTTTGTGAGCATGGAATTTTTTGGGGGATCTTTTATTTCAACTCATGAAACATGGGACCAACACATTACATGTTGCATTTTATTTTTGTTCAGTATATCTATTTTAGAGTAGTGTTGTCCTGGCTATATATGGATTATGGAAGTACTCCGCTCTGAAATAGTTTTGTTTCAAAGACCTTGTATAACCGATGGAAGTCTATGGTAGAACTTCCCCTTATTCCCCGTCACCCTTCAGCAGACCTGCGTACCTAATAAGGAGCGAGAGGCTTGTCTTTGTCAAGTGTCTTGAGTGCATGGGGGTGCAGTAGCTGTGCAATAAAGTCCAACAGCCAGCCTGCCCCATTCCACAGTAGAGGCTCCAAGTAGAGGCTCCGGCAGTTGGTTACGTTGAGGATCAGTAGTTCAGCAGAAGTCAGTGGACAGTAGAGCCTGGACTTGTGTGCAGCGAGAGGTATGCTTACAGAGCCACTGAAAAGGTAAGTGTTCCTGTTTATGATTTGTTTAAATGCCAAACTTAACTGCTCTACCTTCCTCTGTCACCTGACGTGATGTGACAATACAGGGGTTCTGGCATCACACTTCTGAAAAATGGAATCACAGTGCAGTACTTGTTCCTCCCTCTGTATGTGAACTTGTGGCAATGTTTGTGTTTTAGCCTGAGCAGTATCTGATATTTTCCCTTCCATTTCTGACTGAAGCTGGTATCTGTATGAAACGACCTGTATATGGATGGCTGTGTCACTGGCTCAACAATGAATAGTGTATGATGGTGTATACCCATAACACTACTTTAGGTCAGTGCAATAAACTACTTTCTTTGTAGATACTTCTCTTTCAAGCTGTAATGACCTTTGAAACCAAGTGCAAAGGCCTCACAAACGTATTGCCGGGGTGGGGGGGTTGGATTTAGCTGGCAATAGGAGGATTTTGACATTGAATTCTTTGCTTCCTTGGCACTGTAGAAGGGACTCGTAACCAATTGGTAGTCACA